CTTCAGATATTCGCCCAAGGGTTACCGTGCCCACGAAACCTTTCAACGGCGTCTCGCAGCCCTTGCGCCCGCGTCGCCCGCGGCTGCCGGCGCCCCCAAACGGCGGCGGGCAATTGAACCAGCGGCGCGCACTGCAGCTCGTAGGCGGGGTCAATCTGACGGCGCTCGCTGAGCATGAGTATCGACGTGGCCGACTTGCCGTCTAGACTGCGCGCCTGCAGTCTCGCTTGCTGCGCGCGCGCCTGCCGAAGATCTGCGCCGGTGGCGCCAAACACTTTGCGCCCGCGCGCAAAGGGTGAGCGGGGGGCTGGCGCGCGCGCGCAAGGCTGGAACGCGCGAGCAGCTTCCGCGCTCTGGCGCGCGCGGGCTGCTTGCGACTGGCACGCGCGCATTGCTCGTGAGCTTTTCCTGCGGCGAAATCCATCCCGAGATCCCCCATCAGCGCGGGCCCCTCTGAGTCTGACAGAACGGGGCTTGGCCTCGAGGCTTTCGCGGGGGCTGGCAGAGGAGGCGACGGCCCGAGACTTGTTTATGGCGGCGGGCAGACTGATTTGTTTAAATTGCGAATGCAGCCTGCGAGTGGCGCCAGCAAGCTCGAGCGCTGCATCTTCTTCGCGCCCGAGCCTCTCCTGCCCGACCTCATCCGCCACATTGCCAGGGCGTGCGCGAGGAAAGGCGGCTTGCACCGCGTCAAGAGGCGAGAGCAACATCAGCTGCAGCAGCGCAGCGGCAACGTGGCAGCCTGGGGGAACAGCGTGCAAGGTGCGCGCTGGAGCGGGCGCGGCGTCGCTGAGGGCTAGCGCGCGAGGGCAGCGATGCAACTCGACTAAAACAGCTTGAGCTGCCTGACAGGGAAGCCCGCGCGAAGCGCAGCCTGCAGCGGAACGTCGCGCCTGAAATGTTCGAATGCTTTGGCGTGGCCAAGGGGCAAACGGGCGCTGGAACCGCCTCGTGCACGGCCCCACTCGGCGGCGCTGGCCTTCGCCCGGACCAGTTTGCTTGACGAACGCCCAGCGGTGGACCGCCAGGGGCTGCGATCATGCGTCTGCTGCCGCGCTGCAACGAGGGGTTGTCGCAGGCGGCCTTGCGCCCGCGCAAGGATGTGGGTAAGCGCGATGGTCGGGGGCCGCCATCTCGCTTCGAAAGAAAAACGATCATGGCCCACGTGGAGGGCCAGGCGCAGGATTTCTCTACCTCGGCGAGGACGTCCAGGAAGACTTCGAGCGCCTCATCAGACAGCGCCAACAATTGACTGGGGCACAGCCGATCAAACCCACGCCCTGAGCGGCGGGGGCGCGAACGCACGCGGGCCTTGAGCTCTTCCAGCGTAGGCCTTGCAACGAGTGGGCCAGGGTCCGACGGCCAGCTAATATGACCAGAAGTGTGTTCGACCTTCCACCACCCAGCCCACTCCTGCTCCAAAGCCTCCGCCTCCTCCTGAAGCGCGCTGGGCTTGCCGGCTGCGAGAGAACCGGCATGCCAAGGAACGGCTCGCTTCGAAAATGCGCACAGCGCAGCAGCGCCGTCGATGGAGCGGCGTCGAACCCAATCGCTCCATCCAGCGTGCTTGCCACGCTCTGCATCCTTAAACACAGAGATGGCTCTGGCTCCAGCGCCCTTCGCCGCTGCAGATGCAATCCCATGCGGGAGCGACAAGGCCAACTGGAGCAGCAGTACTATGGCTCAGCTTCCACCAACGAAACACCACAACACTTAGGCCGAGCCTGGGCGCTGCGTCCTAGCCGCATGGCGCCTGCCCTTGAATCGGGCGGCTGCCAGCGCGCTGGCCCTTCAATGCAGCGAGCAAGCAATCGCCACCAGAGCGCTGCGGGACTATGCGCAGCGAGTGCAAGCGCGAGCGGGGAAAAAAGGTGCTTGCGCGCAACAAACTGCAACGGCTGCGCTCGACCGATGTACTCAGGGTTGGCAGAGGGGGCGAGGTCATGCACATCTGCCAAGTCAAACTCGGCACTGGTGACCCACCACTGCCACTTGTGATCGAGCGAACTGCCTTCCATCTGCTCAGCGCAGTGCCTCCAGCGCGGAGCGGGGTCCCCTCGTCTGCGCGCGATGGGCACATCGGCGGGGAAGCGGCGAGGCACTCGCACGGCACGATGCTCTAGCCCAGCCTGCGGCAGCGACGGCGGCGCGAGAACGACTGGAGAATGAGGTGCCGTGCCAGCATCTGGGACAATTTCAACCGTAGTGTTCTGTGCCAGCGACTGCGAAACAACAACGTAATCGATGACCCTCCCTGCCCTGCAGAGACGGAAGAGTTGGTGCAAGTCGCGGCAGACGGGAAGAGACAGCCCCCGTCCACCGCCTCGACCCACAGACTGCCCTGAAGCTCCTCGGGGGGCATCTGAATGTCGCCACAAACGACAAACGGCAACCCTACAGTTTTGAGAACTTGTCCTACATCAGTGAGGATGCTCCAGTTTTTCTCTGAGAGGTTTTAGAGTGGTGCATGTAAACATTGACCCACGAGAACCCCAATGGGGTGAGACCGTGATTATGCAAGATCCTCACCCTACCTCCGTGCAACACGCTGTCTGCATATTCAACCTCAGCCAGCCGTGAAGCGGCTGGCGCGCACTGCAAGAGCTCTCCAGATGCACCACCACTCGAAGTATCAGTGGCGGCTGTGAAGGCGGCGTTCCAGTCCATGGCGCGAAGCTTGTGCTCCCAGGTGTCGCACTGAGCCCTTCGCATGTATGCTCCTGCACGGCAACTGCGCGAGCGCCACGGGTGCGACCGCGCAGAAGCGCAGTTCAAGTCCGCTGCGTCCCGATACATTGACAGCGACCAGGCTCAGGCTAAATATCCACTTCAGCCACGCCATCCACCCGAGCCTTCTTCTTGACAGCCTCGACGAGCTGGTCGAAGATGCCCTTGACCAAGTCGTGCTTGGCGCCATGCTGCTCGGCGACGTCGTGCACCTGCTGCCCCTCGCGCTGCTGCTCGATCCAGCGCAAGAGCTCGGCGTGCGACTGCCGGGCACGAGCCCGCGCCGCAGCGGCGTCGGCAGCGGCGGCGCCGGTTGCGCGCTGCGCATCAGCGTCCGCCACCGCCATTGTTATGGCCTCGTGCTCGAGGGCGGCGGCGGGGGCGCCTGGCGCTGGAGCGGCTGCGGGCGCGGCAGCAGCGGCAGCAGCGGCAGGAGCTCCAGCAGGCTGTTGCGGCCCAGGAGCATCAGCGGCAGCAGCAGCAGCAGGGCGGCCAGCACTGCTTGCAGCAGCCGGGGGCGGGGCGCCAGTCTCGTCGTCGACCATGACGACGTCGGGCTTCGCCAGCTCCTGCAGCGTAGGCACCAGCGCCTGCAGCTGTTGCGCGAACGCCGCCAGCCTGGGATCCGCCTTGAGCCCGCCCGCCAAGGCCGAGAGCGCGAGAGCGGGATTCGAGCTCGTTGCCATGCTCTGATAGGCCTTGGCCGCCCGCGCGGGTGCCTCCGTGCAGTGCTCCTTGGCCTCGTCGAGTTCCTTCTTGGCGGTGGCCGCGGCCGCGACGGCCTTGAGTGCCGCCTCCTGAGCGCGATCGTAGGCTCGCTGAGCCTTGTCACGCTTGTCGGCCAAAACGTCCTGCTCGATCCTGGCCGATCGCGCCTCCGCCCACTGTTCCCCGGCAAGCAGCGCGCGGTGACAGACCACCTTGGCGACCAGCTTGGGCGTCCACTCGACATTTTGATGGCCGCGGGGCTTAAGAGCGAGAGTTTGTCCTGGGCCGCGCCGCCTTTGCCGCCTCCTGCGCCGCCGCCGCCGCGCTGACCGCCCCCGCCTGCCCGTGGCGGGCCCTGCAGCCGTGCGCCGAGGGTGCGCGCGCCCGCCGCCGTAGGCGCTGGGCCCGCAGGCGCAGGGCGGCCGCATGCGCGGCAGTGCGTGCGCGAGAGAACGTTGAAGCGGTAGCCGCACCGCTTGTGCTGACATTGCCAGGTGTCGAAGGAGCCGCCGCCATGCCGCTGCGGGGTCATACGAGCCTGACAGGAACAAAAGAGAATCATGTCAAAATTCTCGTCCGACCAGGTGACGAGACGTGGCTTCGGAGGCCGTCACTCTCCCGCACCAGTGAGGCCAGGTCCTGTGCCAAAACACTACGGACTTGAGCCAAAATGGCTACGGATCTCCTCCTTCTACTTCTCCTCCTCCCCCTCCTCCTCCTCCTCCTCCTCCTCCTCCTCCTGCTTGTCTTCCTCCTCCTCCTCCTCCTCCTCCTCCTTGTTTTCCTCCTCCTTCTCCTCCTCCTCCTCCTCCTCCCCCTCCTCCTCCCCCTCTTCTCCCTCCTCATCATCGTCATCATCATCCTCGTCATCCATCATCATCATCATCATCATCATCATCATCATCATCATCATCATCATCATCATCATCATCATCATCATCATCATCATTATCATTATCATTATCATTATCATCATCATCATCATCATCATCATCATCATCATCATCATCATCATCATCATCATCATCATCATCATAATCATCATGATCATCGTCATCATCATCATCAGCATCAGCATCAGCATCGGCATCAGCAGCATCATCATTATCAACATCATCATCATCATCATCATCATCATCATCATCATCCTTATCGTTATCATCGTCATCATTGTCATCGTCATCATCATCATCGTCATCATCATCATCATCACCATCATCATCACCATCATCGTCATACTCATCATAAGCATCATCATCGCCATCAGCAGCATCATCATCGCAATCGTCACCATCATTATCATCACCATCATCATCATCCTCACCATCATCATCATCAACATCATCATCATCATCAGCATCATCGTCATCATCATCATCATCATCATCATCATCATCATCATCATCATCATCATCATCATCATCGTCATCATCATTATCCTCATCACCCTCCTCCACCCCCTCCACCTCCTCCTCCTCCATCTCCTCCTCCTCCTCCTCCTCTTCACCCTCCTTCCTCCTCCTTTTCGCCCTCCTGTAGCGCGCGCGACCCCCAGCGACGCCCAGGAGGCCGCCGGCTTCATCTCGCCCGCGTCGCTTTCACTGCTGCAGGCCTGACCGCGCCCGCCCCAGGGGTGCGCCACCTCCGTCGGGCCGGAGGAGAGGGTACCGATACCGTTGCTCGTCCTGGGAACCCACGGTGGAATCGTTCCCAAAACAGTGTTTGCACTTAGGGGTTCTTTCCTCGTTGTCCAATCGTTGTCTTACGGAGCTGACCCTGGGTGCCAGTCTGGCGGTTCCGTGGTCGCCGTCGCCACCCAGACGCCGCCTCGTCGCCGCCCGTCGTCTGGACCTGGGTGCTGGTCTGGCGGCCCCGCGGTCGCCGCCGCTGCCCCGTCGCCGCCTCGGCGCCGCCCGTCGTTTGGGCCTCGGTGTTGGATGGCTGCTCCGTGACCATCGTCGCCGCCCCGTCGCCGTTTCGTCGCCGCCCGTCGTCTGGGCCTTGCCTGTCTGGCTGCACCGTCGTCGCCGTCGCCGCATCGTCGCCGCCATGCAACTGCCCTAGATTGCACAACGTAGATTCCCCTGTCTGAAAAAGTATCGGGTCTACCCCCCCGAATTAACGACTCCCCGTCTTCGTATTGCGACATCGTCCATCCGACACATGAATTCGTACTATCCCAGGCAAGCCGGTATCGCCCCTGCTGTCATCTTGTGCGAACCTTTGTATGCGCGCATGGTGAACGACGAGACTTCGGAAAGGGTTCATCCGCAACCGTTTCTCCTTCTCAACTCTGCTGCTCGGGAAGCGGATGCAGCCCGCGCCCCCCGCCCCGCGGGCGCGCCGGTGCCGCGCGCGGCCCCATGGGAGCTTCCAGCGGCTCGGGGCGGCCCCTGGAGCGGCGCGCGCGGTGCCGCAGGCCTGTGGGCGCCCCGACAACCTGGAGACGCCAGCCTGCCCTGCGCGCCCCGCTTGCCCAAATTGCCTTTCGACCTCGGGGCAGGACTGGGCGCTGCATGTGGCCTCGCTCCTGGTGGCGGGCGGGCTCTGGCGAGCTGCGGGCTGGGCGGTCGAGCGGCAGTGCGCCGAGGGCGCGCCCCCTCCGATCGCGGACGTGATGCTGCTGGCGGGGGAGAAGGTGGCGGTCTCCAACCGCGTCCCTGGCTGGCCAGGCCCCCAAAGGCGCCTGCGTGGCAAGCGGGCGGGGGGCGACTCCGCGACGGGCGCGCTCGCTCCTCTGCCAGCCCCGCGGGGGCCGCCCCTGGCTGGGAGTTCGGCGCGTTGGCGGCGACGAGGACGCCCCGCCAGATGGTCGGCAGTGGGTCACGATGGGCTACGGCGATACCCTCGTCCCGAGCGAGTAGGTCGACCCAAAGGGCCGTCGCCGCGTGCGAGAGGGCGGCCGTGACGTGCCGCTGTTGGACGGGGCCAACTACGTCGCGCACTGCTGGACCGTGCGTCCCGAGGCCGCCCCCGACTTCGCGGCGAAGGAGCGCGGGCGTTGGAGATCGCTTGCGGACGACGCCGCGGGCGGCGCCGCGACGCCGGCCGCCCAGCCCTCCTTGGCCCCGTCGCCAGATCGCTCCAAGACGCGCTGGGGCTGGAGCGCGAGGGCGCGGTTGCCCAGAAGGAGGAGGAGCCCGCCGCTGACATCCGCACGCTGTGGGTCGATTGCGACAACCAGGGGGGGAGAGGTGCAAGTCGCGACGAGACGTCGCCCGCGAAAGCACACAGGAAGCGTTTCCAGACATGCCGCTCGAGGGCCCTGGCAAGACCTTCTTTTTGACAGAGCACTTCGATCGGCGCGGAGGCGACCCTCGGCAATGGCTTCGGATGTGATTGGGGGGTGCAAGATTATGGGCGGGTCACATCGAACCTGCCTCGAGATGAAGGTGCTGTGCGACGCCCTCTACTTCGCCGGGGCGCACGACCCGCTCATCGTGGGCGCCCGCGCGTCGCTGGAGACCCTCAGCCGACGCGCCCAGACGATCATCGACGCCTGCCAGAGCCCCCAGAAAGTGACTAGGGAGCACGCCGGCCTCTACGTGGGCACCTGGGCCCCGACGACCCCGTCAGCCCGTCGCCGCAGTCCTTCGCGGCGCGGCGCGCAAAAGATCGCGCCGAGGTGGTCGCTGCCCTCGGCCGGGGGGGGCGCGGCCGCGGCCCCCGCGGCGCGCCGACCGCGGGCGCGGGCGCGGGCGAGACCGGCGACGCTGCGGTTGACGCTGGCGGCGGAAGAGGGCGCGGGGGAGGACGCGGCGGCGGCGGGCACCACGGCGGCGGCCGCGGCCGTCGCGGGCTCGCGCCCGGCGCCGCCGAGGGGGCTCGCCCCGCCCTCGGCTGCGTCTCAGGGGGCGCTGGGGGCCCGCCCCCAGGTGGCCGACCGACGAGGGAAGTCTCGCCCATGCTGGCGCCCGCCGCGCCGCTCGGCCCCGCCATCTCGACTCGGGGACAGACAAGGCGCCGCAGCGCGATGGCGCGGGGGGCGGCCCGCGGACTGAATTGGCTTGCCGGCTGCGACGCTAGGGACCTTGCCTCGGAGTCGACAGCGCCGGGAGTTTTGACGCCCGAGGCGTCGGCCCGCGTGGGTGGCCTGGCCCGGGGCCCGTGCCGGAGGCCTGCTCGGGGCGGGGGGCCCTGCGCGACCTCCTGCGCGGCCGCCTCCGCGAACCTCGTGGCCTTCAACGTCGACTTGGTGTCCTTGCCGAGCTACGCGTCGAGGTCTCCCCCGATCGAGTCGCCGCTGGGCCCCAGTGTCTCTCGCTCGATATTTGGGGCCCCATCCATGAGCTGGCGCTGCGACCGAAGACTGAGATAGAGGGCGTCGAGTTCGAAGCGCGCCATATCGCACCTTGCACGGATCGGCCGCTGTCTCACAGCTAGAAGGCGCACCGTGCCTTCGAAGATCGGCTGCGGGATCTCGGCATGCTCGACGCCGCCCTGCAGCCGCGCGGTGGATTGGGATCTTCTTCGCGCGGAAGAGCAGCGAGGGTGCTCGTTGACGCCAGACGCAATTTTTGGTTCCGGGCGCCGCCAGGGGCCAGACTCTGCACCTCGGGGGCCTCCGCCAGCATCGAGGCCAGCGGCCGCGAGGCGGTGCCCTTTGACAGGCCCAGGCTCTTCCTGGGGCCCCGCGCGGGCGCTGGGCCGCGCCGAACTGGGCGGCGCGGTGCTCGGGCCCACTGGCGCGGCGTGGCCGACCTCGGCTTCTACGAGCGCGGGTTTTGCATGGTCGTTGTTCTTTGCCCGGAAGGCCAGAGGAGAAAAGCTGGCGGTGGCCGCGCCGAGCCCGCGAGGGTCGGGGCCCCTCCGCGGCCGGCCCCCGCCCCTGGCGCGCGGCGAGGGGCGGCCTCGCCACTGCGCGTGCGTCGACGACCTTCGGGCCCCCTCGCAGCGCGAAGCCTCGGCGGGGCGCGCCGTCTGCGAGTGGGAATCCGACCCCGCGCGGCGCGGGCTGGAGCTTCGCGGAGGCGGGGCGCGGAGCGGGGACATCCGCGTCTTCGGCCGCAGTCTCCGCGGCCGTCGTCCCAGGGCGGCGGCCGCCGCGCCCGAGCGATTTTGGAAGATCCGGGCTGCTAGCGAAGAAATCATCCGTCGCGGGAGATGTCCAGGCCAGGCCGCCGAGCGCTGGCTGGGGCGCGCCGCGTTCGTGAGTCTCATCCAGAGAGGTTTGTTGTTTACGTTTCACGTGCCACCGTCTCTGCCGACACCGCCGCGCTCGCGTCGCCCCTCGCTGGGCCTCTGTGCGTGACGAGGTCCGCGCCTGGAAAGGGCCGGTGGCTTTTCTCGTTCGGAGGCGGGGTCGGAGTTGGAGTGGGCGCGTCGCGCGGAGCCATGCCAGTGGGCGCGGGCATGGAGTGCGCACCCTTCTGGGGGCGCTCTCAAGGCGCCGCCGTCGGCGGGGCTCTCAGGAGGGGCGAGTTTCAGTTTGAGGGGCGCCAGGCTCGCGAGTCGGCCTCGAGCGCCGCCGGGCGGATCGGTGGCGCTCGGACTGGCGGTCGGCCCCCAAGGGCCCCAGGGCTGCGCCGCGAGGGAAAAGTACTTAGTTATGGAGTGAATGTTTTTTCGGCGATGCCCGACTTCCCCGTGGCCCCAGCGGGGCCTCTCGAGGATGACCGCTGGGTCGCCCGCCTCTGGGGCACGTGGGGTCCCCGAGAATATCCTGACCCTGCAGGCTGGTGCCTCGGGGCTGGGGATTCGCCGTTTTGTTATGAACTTGCTCGGTCCCGCTCGCGCGAACTCCGCCTCCTCGTTCGTGTCCGTCGGTCTGTGGCTTACACTCTCGCTCGCAGTGGCCGCGGGGGGCCACCTGCCCGCTGCTCCCGCCCCGTTCCGCTGCGCCCATCTTGGCTCGAGCCCGCCCCCCGGCACGGGCCGTCGACAGCCCCGCGTCGGAGCCGGGCGCTAGGCGCATGCGCGGTGGGGCGGCGACCGGCGACGCGCCCCGGTGGAAACGGGCGCGCTGTCTGGCGCCGGCCCCGACGGCAAGGGAGAGGCGCCGCGGCGGGCGGGCGCCCCGCGCTGGGGCGGGCCGCAGAGGCCCCGACCGAAGGGCCGCAGCCGAAGCGCGGAGCGGCGGGGGGCAGCTCAAGCGGAGGCTCCTCGTCCGAGCCTGGGCCCGACAGTCGACGGCAGGGCCCGAGGGCTGACGAGGAGGTCGCGCCGGCGCCCGGGCCAGCACCTCGGCACCGCGCTGCGCGGGAGGAGGAGTGCGGCGGCCTGCTCGAGGCCAAAGCCGCGGCCGAGAGCGCGCGCCGCTACTGCTCGACCCACCTCAGGAACTTCGAGGCGTTCAATCGCCGGTGGGCTCGACCCAGCGCTCGCGGGCGAGGGCGACGCGGGCGGCTGGCTCGCGAAGTCTTTCAACGCGAGCTTCCTCACTGGTCGCTCGCCGGAGTGCGGCGGGGCAGTGCTGGCCCAACCTTCGGTAAGGCCGGGGGGCGCCGCGCCCCCCGGGCCCGGCGACGCCGGCGTGGATGGCGCCATCTAGTCCCGGCCAGGTCGCGGAGGCCCTTGCCGCAGATGGCGTGGAAGGCGATGGCCGCCGGCCTCTGCCTGCGCGGGTGCAAGCAGATGGCGGTCGCAGTCCCGCTGGGAGTGGGGGCCCACC